TTTCAGAATTCTAACATTAGCGATTTTTATAAGTGTAGGGACAAGGGTACCTGTTGCAGCTTCGCCCGCAAAAAAAAGAAAGGGAAAAAAAAGAAAGAGAAGCGGTGTCGGACACACCGCGGAAGGGCGAGCGTGGAGGTAGGGCGGAGGTAGGGCGGAGGTAGGGCGGAGGTAGGGTGGAGCACGCAGGATTTTTTTATTTTTTTTCATATGACATTTCGGAAGAAGAGGGGAGGAGCGGAGGGGGTGTGTGGAGCTAGGGCGGATGGAGGTGGAGTGCGGAGGTATGGCAGTGGGGGAGCGTGGAGGTAGGAGGAGCACAGAGGTAGGGGGAGTGCGGAGGTAGTACGGAGGGAGAGGGAAGGAGCAGCGGAAGGCAAAGGGGCAGCGCTGGAGGAAAGTGGGAGTGGAAAGCGGAGCGAGAGGGGAGGATTGGAGGGTGGAGAGGGAGTGCAAAGGTAGCACGGAAGGAGACCACGGAGGGAGCGCGAAGGGGGAGCGCAGAGGTAGCACACAACGTTTTTTTTTTGTTTTTTTTTTTGAACGTATCTCATTTCGGAAGAAGAGCAGAGTTGCAGAGGGGGTGCGCGTAGCTATGGCAGAGGGGGGGGGGGGGCAGATGTATGGCGGGGGGGGGGGGGGGGGGGGGGGGGGGGGGGGGGGGGGGGGGGGGGGGGGGGGGAGCGCGGAGGTAGGGCGGAGTGGGAGGGTGGAGGTAGGGCGGAGCGGGAGGGCGGGCGGAGGTAGGGCAGAGGAAGGCGTGTGCGGAGCTAGGGCGGAGGTAGGCGGGAGCGCGGAGGTAGGGGCGAGCAAGGGAGGAGCTTGGAGGTAGGGCGCAGGTAAGAAGAAGAGCGGAGGAGCGAAGGGGGCGCGTGGAGGTAGAGAGGTAAGGTGTAGGGGGAGCGCGAAGGTAGGGCGGAGGGGGAGCATGGAGGTAGGGCGGAGGTAGGGCAGAGGAAGGCGTGTGCGGAGCTAGGGCGGAGGTAGGCGGGAGCGCGAAGGTAGGCGGGAGCGAGGAGGTAAAGGGAAGCACGGGAGGAGGAGCACGGAGGTAGGGCACAGGTAAGAAGAAGAGCGGAGGTGCGAAGGGGGGCGCGCTGAGGTAGGGTGGAGCATGGGAGGAGCAGCATAGAGGTAAGGTGCAGGGGAGCGAGGAGGTAGGGCGCAGGTAAGAAGAAGAGCGAAGGAGCGAATGGGGCGCGCGGAGGTAGGGTGGAGCATGGGAGGAGCAGCACAGAGGTAAGGTGCNCGGAGGTAGGGCGCAGGTAAGAAGAAGAGCGAAGGAGCGAATGGGGCGCGCGGAGGTAGGGTGGAGCATGGGAGGAGCAGCACAGAGGTAAGGTGTAGGGGAGCGCGGAGGTAGGGCGGAGGGGGAGCATGGAGGTAGGGCGGAGGGGGAGCGCGGAGGTAGGACAGTGCGCAGGAGGGGGAACGTGGAGGTAGGGCAAGGGGGAGTGAGGGAGGAGGAGCGGGGGAGGAGGAGCGGAGGTGCGTGGTGGAGGTAGAGTGGAGCATGGAGCTTTTTTTTTCCGTGTCTCGTTCCGGAAGAAGAGCGGAGTAGCGGAGAAGCAGAGGGGGTCCGCTGAGCTAGGGCGGTGGAAGGGGGGGCGCAGAGGAGGGGCCAATGGGCACCGTGGAGGTAGGGCGGAGGGGGAGCATAGAGGTAGGGCGGAGGGGGAGTGTGGAGGTAGGGCAGAGGGGGAAGACAGAGGGGGAGCACGGAGATAGGGCGGTGGTGGAACTCGGAGGTAGGAAGACGGGCGGAGGTGCGGACGGGGTGCGCGGAGCTAGGAAGAAGAGGGGGTGCAGGGAGGCACGGTGAAGGGAGGGGGATCCCTGATGTAGGGCGGAGGGGGAAGAGGGAGGACCGCATATAGGGCGGAGGACGGGAGTGGGTGGCGGAGGGTGGAGGAGGAGCGCAGGCGGAGGGGGAGCGCGGGCAAAGGGGGAGCACGGGAGAAGGGAGAGCGCGGGTAGTGGGGAGGAGCGGAGAAGGGAGGGGGGAGGGGGAGGAGTGGAGGGCCGAGGGGCAGTGTGGGCGGAGAGCGGGAGCAGAAGGCAAATGGCGGGTGGAGGGGGGAAGCGGAGGGAGAGTGGAGGAGCGGAGGGCACCCCGGGCAAAGCGGAGAAGAGGAGGGAGAGAGGAGGAGCGGAGGGCGGAGGGCGGAGGGCGAAGGGCGGAGGGTGAGTGACTAAGTGCTACCCTCCAGAGCTGGTGCTCCAACGCACCGATTCGAACTGTGGGGTGTTGGATTTTCATCTGCAGGACGGGCATCTTAATGTGCCACAAATTCAAGACTGCAGGCTCCATCTCGAGCGAAGGGGATATCTGTTTTCAGACATACAAAGATTTTGTTTCGTCTGGTCCACGGAATGCCAAATTTGCTACAGTTGCGAATACGGTACTCCGTATCGCACAGAATTCTAACTCCGAAAGCCTAATTTGCTGCAGTGTCCTGACTCTGGCCGAAGAGTTAAGGAAGATCGGGTACCCCGACAGAAACGTCATTGCGGGGGTCCGATGGATGTCAAGAAGGATGAGAACCCCATTTTGGGATAAGTTGGTGGGTGCCATCGCGTACCTACTCGGTGATACCCCTCGGAGGTTCCGAATCTTATGATTCGACTGAGGCCTCTTTTTTGACGTGCGAACGTTCCAGATCTGATATCCGGCCGCATTCTTGCGACAAGCAAGCTCAAGCTTGTTGCTTCTCCTTCGGCATGAACCAGCAAACATGGGCCAGGCTCTGGCGTTACTGATGGTCTACGAATCTGAAATCCTGCCACTATGTTTTGTCCTTCTTGAAACACGCGGTGTGCGCTAAAGTCGGTCGATACCTGGTAAGAAGGTCGGTATCAGACCTAGCTGTTTGAACATATATATTGGCCTAACTCAGAGAAAAAAGCCACGGATCTGCTATCATGGTTTGCTGGACACGCCGAAGCTCAGCATACGGCGCGGTGCATTTCTCGAGTGACATACGCAAGCGTTTTTTAAAATTTTAACTTAGTTTGTAATATTTGGCTTTTTAATTTAGTTTTCTTATTTGGTCCCAAGGTACCTTACGAGGACCAACGGACTGTGCTGGGCGTTTTTGGTGAAGCAGAGTAGACTGTGATAAGCAGTATATAAACACAGTGTAGGGATGAAGTCTTTACCTCAACTTGAGTGGCGTAAGAGTAGAAGGGTTGAGAACCTTGACAGTGTGCGTTAAGGTGATGTGGGAGGAAGGTGATTATGCCATGACAGTAAAACTCTTATCATCTTCTTTCAAGTGTTGTCCATTGTGATTTATGCTATGGTATTGAGCCCTAGTTTCGACCTTGCCGTGGCTTGGGAACGAAGCTAGGGTGCCGATTCTCTCTCATGTAACTCTTGCTCGTGTACTCACTTTTTGTGTCTATCACTCGCTGATTACTGTGAGCGTTCGTGCAGGTTTGTCATTTTATCATATATTTTTTTAATCATTTTTTTTTTAATTTTTCTCATTTTTTATCATTTTTATCATTTTATCATTTCATGTTATCATGTTATCATTTTTTACTTTTCATCGTGAATTCCGTTCGATTTCTATTTGTTGCTTGCGTATTGCTCTATCGATCCATTGTTATTTCCCGGAGCTTCATTTCCGGAACATCGATGTTCTCTCCCATTGTGGAGAGTTGATTTCTGCTATTTCTGCTATGATCTGATACTTAGTTTGGTTTACTCATACTACGTATGTATGTGCGAGCGCGTCTACTACTCTCCGCTAGCGTTGATAAAGCCATGGGTACGAGCGACCAGATCCGGTCTGCGCCACTGCGCTACTGAACTTTGCGCGAAGTGGCGTAGCCACGCGTCCGATGATTTGGCAGTAAGAGAGCTGCTACATTGCTGCCGCTGTGGAAGCAGTTGCTCGTATGACTTGGAACTTCAATTGGCTCGAGTGGCGAAGTCGTAACGAAGGCGATATAAAGTGGGCGATTGCTATCGGTGTTGGGATTGGGATCGTTGTAAGCCTCGCTATCGAGCGCATGTTTGGACGGGGACGAGGTGGGAGAAGGAACGGACGACAAGGAAGGTGGTCGAACTGTGGGCGCTATTGGATGGAGAACTCGAATGCTGCGAATGCAGGTGGACTTCATCCGCAGAACGTGCCAATGCAATACGGTGGTAATAATCCGGCTGGGAATTCCTTCCCCCCAGGTGTCACTCCACAACCGTATCAATAAGGGGGTGCGCACGTACCGGCGATGGCTCCTACCGCAGCCCCTCATGCCATGCCTGCCATGCCTGCAATGTCTGCGATGCCTTCGCTGCCTACCATGCCTATCATGCCGACTATGCCTTCGATGCCACCTACTTCGCTGCAATACATGCCGCATGTTGCTCCTCCTTCAACTGGACAGTGGGGTTTGCAAGCTTGGTCTGCACAAGGGCAACGGACTGGCACCGGGCCGTGGATTGCCCTGGCACCTCAGCCTGTCGCTGCCCCGCTTCCTAACAACCCTGTTCCTAACCATACTGGCGGAACAGGTGGGGGGGGGGGGGTGGAAAAGGACCAGATGCTACCGCGTTTCCGGGGCGTGGTAATCGTGCCTATTTCATGAAGGAATACATGGATATCAAGACGCATAAGGCGGTTGAAGATGCCAAGAAGAAGATGGCGAATGGCGACGAACTGCCGTCGATCGACCAACTGGCGTTCGTATCGTGGAACTTCCGGATGAGGCTAGCAGATCTGATGTTCGCTCGTCGGCGAAAAGTGACGAAATGAAGGCTTGGGTAACCTCCACGCTTGGAAGCTCCTTGAAACTCATCTCCGATCGGTTGGAAGAAGTTGATAAGAAGTCTAAACTTACGGCGACGGAGAAAGCTGAGCTGGAAAAGCTTCGAGAGGAGAAGCTTGCCCTGGAAAAAGGGAGCAAAGAATTATCAAGCAATGAGAAGCGAAAGAGGGTCGGCCAGACTACACCAGTCGAGAACTCGCCTGGGGTTAATTGAGTTAAAACTCGATCTCGTGGAGGGAGCAAGTCTAAATCTAAGCACATTGAGATTTCCTCTGACGACGAAGGTGCGAACAAGGTCAAACAAAACCTGCAATCTAAAATGGAAAGCAGTAGCGAGCTGGCAGACATCAAGATGGTGCTTGCGGCGCTAATGCAGGGAATGAATGACACGAAGGGGAAGGCTCAAGTCGTGGAGCCTAAGCAAGAGAAGCCGTCCGCAGAGTCTGAAGGTGTTGAAGGGGAAGAAGATGTCGATATCGTGCAGCATGAAACGAACGCAGAGGAGGATAAAGGTGACGAAGGCGGCTTGGCTACATACATGAAGATGCACCAAGACTTCTACGCTTCTCTGCATTACACGCGCGTGCAGGAGATGTGCAAACAGAAGAATATTCAGTATTTCAGGAAGGATATGGGTGCTTGGGAGCTTGCGCGGCTGGACTTACAAGAGTATAAAGACATGCTCAAAGGAGGCAAGCCCTGACCAGCGGGTGAACCATCCAGCGCCAATGGTGTGAATGAAGGCGAAAGCATTGAGATGAATTCTGTCGCTGAGGACCCTATAAAGGGAAACTGAGACTTGGTAGCATTCGGTCCCTCCGGAGAGCGGCGCGTCGAATACAGCGCCTCAAGAGCGATGTGGGCGGCTACGAATCCCCCTCGACGGCGGCCATCCGCGGACAAGTCCGCGGCCGCGACCCCGCGGACGTGTCCGCGGTCCGCGGCCATCGAAAAAAAAAAAAAAAAAAAAAAAAATTTAAAAATGATGAAAAACAAATATGTTATGCAGAAAAATATACTGAACAACTTTTGCCTTGTCGTCATATCCAAAAACGTTACTGAATTTAAAATAAAAAATCACATACGTTTCATGTTTTTTTTTTTGGAAAAAAAACAAACAAACAACTTTTGCCTCAGGAAAATTAGTTTTTGAATTTTTAAAATTCGAAGACGAAGTCAAAAAATAAAATAAAAAATTGCGCAATTTAGATCTCGAAAAGATCTACAACCCCATATTTTTTGTTTTTTTTTTTGATAAATGTTTAAGGTCACAAAAAATTCCTGAAGGTCGCGGCTGCACCCAACCGCGGCCGGAGCCGTGCCGGTCGTGATCACGTCCGCCCTCCAAGCTTGACCCCGCGGACGCGTTTCATAGGTGGGCGGGCAGATTAGCATACTGCTTGACTGGATCCACACCCTAATAATTTTGCTTGCTTGTTTGAGGGGCGACCTTGCGTGGTGGAATGGATTTTTAAGGTTTTGGTTCAGACTGCGACCGGAAGAATGGGATACATTACTCAATGGGAGTTGTTGTGTCTATGTACTTATGTCTTTAAACCATAAGGCGGTCTATGTAGGAAGAACCACTCGAACGCTTCGTGAGCGGTGGGTTGAGCATAAGAGGGCGGTTAAGGGGGATAGCAAACAGAAGGTTCATGTATGGCTCCGGAAAACGGGAGTGGATAACTACGTTGCAATTCCAATTTGGTTTGGTGACCAGGCCGATCTCGATAGTCTTGAACAGGCGGTTATCAGGGGTTTTAACCCCGGCCTGAACTCACGTTTCTTAAAAGTGAGAAGAATGGAAGTCGGGTTCGAGCTAGGAAAAAATCCACTTTGGACGCGCTAACACCTTTGCAAATAATTGAGCCTATTTTCTTTACCTGCCCCTCCCTTGATGTTTCCTACGAGCCTGACCTGCTGAGGATCCTCAAACTTTTAACCAAAGGCAGGAAACGCAAACCAGTGTTTGTTTCAAATAATAAAGGAGGTAGATGGTTGAAAGCATGGAGACTGGTCGCACTACTGTTTGTTTTTTCGAAAATTGTAATTTTGGGCAATAAGATGCTGTTGAAAGATGAGAAGTCCCTAATTGAGAAAGGAGATGGGTGGCTGATCTCTGAAGTCGTAAGAACGAAAACCAGGACTGAACTCAGGAAAGCTGAGTTAATTGCGCTACTTTTTGCCCCCTGGAGAAAACGGGATCTGTACAAACTAAGCATAGATGAACTAATCGAACTTAATGATGGAATTAAGACAGTTAACCAGCAGCGGGGTAGGCAGATTATCCGTGGAATCATAACCACGGTCATGAAGAATAAATTTACGATTAACCCTCGTATGAATGTGTCTGTTAAAATTCCTTTCTGCACAACAATTGAGAAACAAAAGGTTCAGACCCAGGTTAAGAATTGGGTCAGGGAGAACGCCTCAACAAAAGCTCTGGGCAACCTGTTTGCAAAAAGAACCAAGGCGGTCTGGCTGAAAGCCAAATCAGTTGGGGATATCTTGCATAACCAAAAGTTGTTTGCACAGCAAACAGAATTCTGTTGTGTCTGTGCCAACTTTGAACTGCCCAAAACTAACGGGCTTGTTGTGGTAAAGCTCAGTGAGATTGGAGAGGTTGACTCTTTTTTGTTTAATTCAACAAGTGGACCCGCCGCAGCTACGCTGCGGCAGAGGAGAGGGAAGAACAGGGGGACGGGGCTGTTGTTGTTACACTGCAGGTTTTTTTGATAATTTTTTTTTTTTTCTCTCGTCATATTCGCTGTAGACTCAAGAATAACATAACTGTGGCAGACTGTTTCTTCTCTCTCTCTCTCTCTCTCTCTCTCTCTCTCTCTCTCTCTCTCTTATCCCATCGATGGAAGTAGTCTCTCTCTATCTGTCTGCGTGTATGGCTGGAAAACTCTCTCTCTCTCTCTCTCTCTCTCTCTCTCTCTCTCTCTCTCTCTCTCTCTCTCTCTGTGTCTCTGTGTGTGTGTGTGCGTGTGTGTGTGTGTGTGTGTGTGTGTGTGAAACACACACACNTGCGTGTGTGTGTGTGTGTGTGTGTGTGTGACACACACACGCGCGCGCGCACGCGCTCAGGGGAACACTTTATTTTTTCGAGGTGCTGTTCGGCACGCTCTCTCTCTCTCTCTCTCTCTCTCTCTCTCTCTCTCTCTCTCTCTCTCTCTTCGCGCGCGGTCAAGAGGAGGGAGGGCGGCAGAGGAGAGGGAGGGCGGGCGAAACGGGTCCAGCGCCCGTATTACAATTGAGGTCTGCGCCGGACATCAGAAAAGATCCACCTCAAGAAGTCGTTCGTGTCATCATTGGCCGTTGGAGGATGTGAGGAGCATCATCCCTGATGTAAGAATTTTGTCCGCTTGGGGGGAACATGTCGTAGGCCGGCCGTCGTTGCCACTCGACTTCTGGCGGCACAGCACGCAGGACAATGTTCGCTCCGTTGATATGAGCAGAGTTCGAGTGAGGCCCATGTGTCCAGCTTGCTGCCCGGCCTGCCCGTCACGATCTCCCCTCTTCCCTTCCCATGCCTCTGTCGGCTGTCGATCAGCTGTGCAGCTTGCTGGCCAGCCTGCCCATGATTGCTGGCCGACATGGGAAGATACACCACGACATCTTTTCTCTATTGTGCATGTCGTGAGCAGTGGACCGAGGCTCGTGTCTGCAGCTTGTTGGCTGCCTTGTGCCGCCTTGTGCCCCCCCCCCCCGCCCCCCTTCCTTCCTCTCCCTCTATCCATCACGATTCCCCCCTCTTCCCTTTCTCTCCCTCTGCCCTTTTGGCGATCACCGTCCTTTCTCAATTTCCATGTGTCCACCTTGCTGGCCGCCTTTCACGACGCCCCCCTTGCCTTCTCCATCCCACCTTATTTGCCTCCCAGTCGATCACGATCCCTTCCCTTCGTCACCATACTGTCAACACGCAAGCTTGAGCGAGGCTCATCTGTGCAGCTCGCTCGCCTGCCCATCATGATTCCCCCCGTGCCCTTCCTCTCCTTCTGGCCTCTATCGATCACCGTCCTTTCTGCGCCCCCTTCCCTTCCTCATCACATCGTCATCATCGTCCAATCCTCTCTCCATCTCGACCTCGCTGCCCAGTGTATTACGCCTGCCCCCCCCAAAAAAAAAACACAACGAATGTACACAGAAAAAAAACAAAAACACAGCGGACGTCCAAAATGAAAAGGAGTCTTCGGCCAGAACATTGAACGACACACCGATATATTTTTTCGCTTTTGTACATGCGGTGAGTAGGGAAGCGAGGTTCATCTGTGCAACTTGCTGGCCACCCTGCCCCCACCCCCTCTTCCCCCTTCCCTTCCTTTCCCTCTATCCATCACGATCTCGCCCCCCCTTTTCCTTCGTCATCAGACTGTCACAGTCCAATCATGCAGTCCGAGCGAGGACCATCTGTGCAGCTTGCTGGCCGGCCTGCACATATACATCCCCTCCCCCCCCCTCCCTTCCCTTCTTCTCCCGCTGTCCTCTGTCGATCACCCTCCTTTCCGTCTCTCGACCATCACGACGTCCCCCCCTCCCTTCCTCATCACACCCTCATCCGCGAATACTCCATCTCCATCTGTCCGCCAGTCCATCAGCACCCATCACGATCCCGCCACTCCACTTTGTCTCCTTCTATCCATCACGATCCTCCCTCCCTTCCCTTCGTTACCACACTGTCATCACCTGATCACATAGTCCGAGCGAGAGCTGCCCAGCTTGTTCGACTCCAAGTCCATCACGATAATCCCCTTTCACTTCGTCAGCACACTGTCATAACCAATCACGTACCGGTGTCAAAAAAACCGACACGATAAAGGAGGGGGAGAGAGAGAGAGAGAGACAGAGAGAGAGAGAAAGAGAAAGACATGACCATAAATTTTCATTCATCCTTCTTCCTCCATCTTTCCTCCTCCTCCTCCTGCTGTTTCTCTTCCCTCTCGTCAAGCACACCTTCCTCCTCCGTTTTTTTATCGTAATCCCGCAATAATCGGGGCGGAAAAGAAAACCGGAGAAAAAGGAAAATGGAAGTCATCGTCAGCGCCCAACAAAAAAAAAGACGAGGGCGGAGGGGATGTAGTCTCGGGTACTTCCAGTCTTCTTCTTGTCCTCTACCTCTCTCTCGTTCCTCCTTGCTCCAAGTCCTCCTCGTCGCCATCATGAGCTTCCTCATCCTCGTTGCTCCCGTTCCTCCTCGTCCTCCTCGTCGCCATCATCACCTTCCTCGTCCTCCTTGCCCCCGCTCCTCCTCGCACCCATCAGAGGGGATGTACTCGCCTCGTCATCGGCAGCCGGTAACTCCCCGCCGTCCTCTTGTCTTCTTCCTCCATCCTTTGCTCCGCTCTCCTCCTTGTCTTCTTCCTCCATCGTTCTCCTCCGCTCTCCTCCTTATCTTCTTCCTCCATCCTTCTCCTCCGCTCTCGACCTCCTTGCTCCCGCTCCTCCTCGTCGCCATCATCACCTTCCTCGTCCTCCTTGCTCCCGCTCCTACTCGTCCCCATCATCACCTTCCCCGTCCTCCCTGCTCCCGCTGCTCCTCGTCGCCATCATCTCCATCATCCCGATAGTCGATATCATTATCATCAGCTATCGAATGCGTCTATTGTGATCAACCCCGTCCTCCTCGTCACCATAGTCACGGTCATCACCATCATCATCATCATCATCGATCCCTGTTCCGCCGCCCTCCTTTTCCTCCTCCGCCGTAGTCCCGCCACCATCATCACCGCAACCATCATCATCGAATCCGTATTTCTTCCCCCGTCTTCTCGCATATGCTCGTCCGCCCTCATCCACATACCCCGATCCTCTCCCGCCCCCGACATGAGAGAGAGGGAGTGATCAGCCTGCTCGCTGATCATAGGATTTTGTGCGCCGTGTCCCCGTGCGCGGATCTCACGAGCGGCCCGATATCCCCTACGCGCATACCCGCGCGCTGATCACAGGATTTTGTGCGTCGTGTCCCCGCGCGCGGATCTCACGATTTCGCCCCGTTCGAGCTACCTCCCCACGTCGGCCTCCCGGGCGCGGTACCACCGCCCTGTCCCCGCCTCCTGCCGGTNGGGCGCGGTACCACCGCCCTGTCCCCGCCTCCTGCCGGTACCGCCCAGCTCCAACGAATTTCCTGCGCGCGGATCTCACGATTTCGCCCCGTTCGGCCTACCTCCCCACGTCGGCCTCCCGACCGCAGTACCACCGCCCTGTCCCTGCCTAGTGCCGCCCGCCTCCCGAGAAATTCATTGGGCCCGCGACGAGGCATGTCGCCGGGCCCTCTCCATCCTTTAGTATGTATAGAGAAGAACGTACCATTCCCTGGTGCATTGAAATAAAGGGAAGGACTGAACCAATCATGTAACCAGGCTGTTGCGTGTCTCCGGCACATGGGTGTCGTCACCGACACCATGCGCTTGGATTTGAAACTCGTCTCAAGGGCTGGGGAAAAGAGGGCCGATGGGTGTGTGCTGAGTGAATATGTCTGCGGGGTGAAACAGTCAATTGATGGTTTGGTTATGCCACCTTTAGATCGTAACACCAGTGAGACCTGGGTTGAATATCCACTATCTTACCAAGCAGGACTGAAGAAGATGTTCCTTGACAACAAGAACTATGTAGTTCCCGAATCAACTACTGTTCTTCAAAAAATGCAGAATGAATTTACCAAGTAGGGCATAGGGGGAAAACAGAGGGGGAGCACGGAGATAGGGCAGTGGTGGAGCTCGGAGGTAGGAAGACGGGCAGAGGTGCGGACGGGGTGGGAGGAGCTAGGAAGCAGAGGGGGTGCAGAGAGGCACGGTGAAGGGAGGGGGATCCCGGATGTAGGGCGGAGGGGGAAGAGGGAGGACCGCGGATAGGGCGGAGGACAGGAGTGGGGGGCGGAGGGTGGAGGAGGAGCGCAGGCGGAGGGGGAGCGCAGGCAAAGGGGGAGCACGGGAGAAGGGGGAGAGCGGGTAGCGGGGAGGAGCGGAGAGCGGAGGGGGGRGGGGGAGGAGTGGAGGGCCGAGGGGCAGTGTGGGCGGAGAGCGGGAGCAGAAGGCAGATGGCGGGKGGAGGGGAGAAGCGGGGGGAGAGTGGAGGAGCGGAGGGCAGCCCGAGCAAAGCGGAGAAGAGGAGGGAGAGAGGAGGAGCGGAGGAGCGGAGGGCGGAGGGCGAAGGGCGGAGGGTGCAGATTTCGTTGTTTTTTAATGTACTAAGAGAGAGAGAGAGAGAGAGAGAGAGAGAGAGAGAGAGAGAGAGAGAGAGAGAGAGAGAGAGAGTGCTTCACGTCAGCACGCTACAACAGGGCACTTCGTGACATACGACAACGGACTGCTACGTACGACAACAGACAACCTACTTACGTCGGGTAGCACGTGCCAAGGATGGGCCCGCTCCAATGGGCAAACCATTTTTGGGTAGCGTGTGCCAAGAACCACTTTAACATGCGGACCACAACTGACCTGCAACCAGCAATCAAGTTGGTTAACGACAGGATCACAGGAGCTAGCGACAACCTCGGGATTATGGCTCACACTTACGATATTAAAGAAATGTTCACCCAGCTCCCGCATAAGTGCATCAAGAGCGCTGTAGTTTGGTTTGTTGAACTGTTTTTCTCAAGAGCAGTAAAACGGCTGAGAATCAATACCAGGAAGAATGCTGCCCGGTTTGGGAAATTGTTTGGAGAAGCTGGGTGGAGATCTGTTCGCGTGAAGAGTCTGATATCCCTAACTGACTTCCAACTGGATAATACTTTTTTCTCAGTCTCAGGGATAACACCGCGCCAGATTAACGGCATTCCAATGGGTGGGCGGGCAAGCCCGCCACTGTCTTGTGTCATGTGTATGATGGCCGAGTTCCGATTTATCGACTCTCTGGGTGCGGATTGCAAATTGGTTATGGGTAAGCGTTACATTGACGATCTGCTGATTGTCTCCCTGTTTGATCGTGACGATCCAGTGGGAGAACGGCTTGCTATTGAAAGACTTGACGGAGTGACTAAGTGCTACCCTCCAAAGCTGGTGCTCGAACGCACTGATTCGGACTGTGGGGTGCTGGATTTCCTGGAAACACGTCTTCTCATCTGTAGGACGGGCATCTTAATGTGCCACAAATTCAAGAATGCAGGCTCCATCTCGAGCGAAGGGGATGTCCGTTTTCAGACATACAAAGATTTTGTGTCGTTTGGTCCACGGAATGCCAAATTTGCTACAGTTGCGGATACTATACTCCGTATCGCACAAAATTCTAACTCTGAAAGCCTGATTTGCTGCAGTGTCCTGACTCTGGCCGAAGAGTTAAGGAAGATCGGGTACCGCGGCAGAACCGTCATTGCGGGGGTCCGATGGAGGGGTCAGATGGATGTCAAGAAGGATGAGAACCCCATTTTGGGATAAGTTGGCGGGTGCCATCGCGTACCTACTCGGTGATACCCCTCGGAGGTTCCGAGTCTAATGATTCGACTGAGGCCTCTTTTTTGACGTGCAAACGTTCCAGATCTGATATCTGGCCGCATTCTTGCGATAAGCAGGCTCAAGCCTGTTGCTTCTCCTTCGGCATGAACCAGCAAACGTGGGCCAGGCTCTGGCGTTACTGCTGGTCTACGAATCTGATATCCTGCCACTATGTTTTGTCCTTCTTGTGCGCTAAAGTCGGTCGATACCTGGTAAGAAGGTCGGTATTAGACCTAGCTGTTTGAACATATACATTGTCCTAACTCAGAGAAAAAAGCCACGGATCTGCTATCCTGGTTTGTTGGACACGCCGAAGCTCAGCATACGGCGCGGTGCATTTCTCGAGTGACGTACGCAAGCGTTTTTTAAAATTTTAACTTAGTTTGTAATATTTGGTTTTTTAATTTAGTTTTCTTATTTGGTCCCAAGGTACCTTACGAGGACCAAGGGACTGTGCTGGGCGTTTTTGGTGAACCAGAGTAGACTGTGATAAGCAGTATATAAACACAGTGTAGGGATGAAGTCTTTACCTCAACTTGAGTGGCGTAAGAGTAGAAGCGTTGAGAACCTTGACAGTGTGCGTTAAGGTGATGTGGGAGGAAGGTGATTATGCCATGACAGTAAAACTCTTATCATCTTCTTTCAAGTGTTGTCCATTGTGATTTATGCTACAGTTCCCTCTGGCAAAATCTGCGATCTCAGTCGTCGGGTACTACCAGATCAACGGGCCAGATCGGTGCGCGGTCTTAGGATCTTAAGACCACCTGCAAACAGGCCCATCGATCCGGTAGTGCCCGACGGTCAAGATCGCAGATTTATTACATGTTCACGACGATCGATGCCACTGGCCAGTGGGACTGACGACGGCCTGCATCACAGATTGGATCCGTTAGCGATTTAAATAGTATAGGGATGCTGAGCCCAGTTCCCATCACGTTCTGCTCCCCACGAATAGATTGGAGCCTTGTTCATTTAATAAAACAAAGGAAAAAAACTTTGCTTAAACCACCAGTACCTTTGACGTTTCAGTGGCGGGCCTCAAAATTTGAATTCCAGTGACAAACATATTGGTCCTTTAATACGTTAATCATGCACTGAGGTCTTCATCCCTTGTACACTTGTACAAAGATTCCTCAAAGATTGCACATACCTGTTGTAATTTCGGTGGTGAAGATGTTGTTGATAGCACAACGTCAGCTTTTGTGTCACCTTTCAATTCTTTTCTCTTGCTTACTATCAGGGGCTGGAACGCGATCAAGGAAATGCCAGCAACTGATGCTGCTAACACCGGCTTGAACCATCGCGTTGACCTCATATTCCACTCCCCTCCTGAGCTTGAAGCAGTGATTCGCCACTGGCAGTCTGGCAGAAAGCCCGATCCAATCACCTGGGACCAAAAATAGTGTGCGAAAGATGCATGCATCATAAACCAGATGAACAGAAGGATTGTTAGTGAAGAGAGAGAAAAGGAGCTGGGGAGAGTATGGCATAGCAAAATCGCCTCTAAACTTGTGTGAAGAGATAAGTCTGATGAAGGTTGGGATGTTGTTGAAACGTTAAAACTACTGGAAAATGAGAAGATAATAATTACACGATCAATAGTGGCGGCCTATTTCTAGGCTGAAGAGGCATTTCCCCCATAAGCTCTAAATAAACTCTGCAAATGATTGTTTAAGGGAAGGGCTGCAGACTCCTGGAATACAGTGAGACCAAAGGGAAAAGGGACATACAGGATAAGAACAAGGGCTTGTCATTTCCAGGAATAGGGCTAGGTCGGTACTAAGGAGAGATTTCTACTAAGGGAAGGGCACCATTCACAGGCCCAAAGTAAAAAGTAGCTCCAAGACAGGAAGACCAATGACTATAACCCCGACACATGGTACTGCAAAGCTCTTTCCATGGAATACTGGACCCGGTTTCCAGCACGTGCCACTCCCCACCAATAGATGGAGCCCCGGCAGTTCTCTTACCACCCCCTGGATATAGTGGACTTGTGAAAGTGGGTTTTTTCAAAAAAAAAAAAAAAAAAAAAAAAAGAATAAGACCCCAAGGTATAAAGATTTACTGACAGAGATGGCTAGGTGCTAGGAGGAAGGCGCGGAGGCAGGAAAGTTTATGTGAGGGAGTCTTCAAGCTCCCACATGAAGCAGGATGGAGGGAGAGTGAGGGGCAAGGTGCACCCGCACCATAGGCCCAGAGGAGGGAAAAAGAAACGTGAGAGAGGCGGTTTTCCTTACTGAAGCAGACAGTTGAGAGAGGTGGTTTTCCTTACTGAAGCAGACAGCTGAGCGCTCAAATTGAGACAAAGAGAGAGAGCACCGAATGAATAAGATGGTGGAGTCATATTGTGAGGTGATGGAGATTGTGTGGACGGCGGGATGGACATAACACATTACATCATTGACCGCACACTCTGACAACAGGAGAGAAATAACTCAAAGCAATAAAGTAACTG